GGCTACCAAAAATTTGTTTATAAAAAACACTATTAAATATAAAAATATTAGAATCAAAAACAAAGTTGATGAGTGTTTTAAAATGTAATAAGTCAATATTAGTGTGTTGCGAAATCTCATTCCAATGTTTTTTAACACTACTTATGATTAAATTTAAAGGTAAATTAGTAAAAAGAGATGATACATCAAAACTAACTAAAACATAATTTTGTGGTAATTGGAAATTATTAATGAAAGAACTAAAATCAAATGAATCTTTTATGTAAAAATTGTTGTTTAAATTATAAGCATTGGTTAAGATGTCAGTGAGGAGCTGTGCTATTGGTCCATTTGGAGGGTATAGAGATGAACCAATAATTGGTCTCATAGATAAAGTTGGTTTATGTATTTTAGGTAGAGCATAAAACAGTGGTGCAATAGAATTATAAATTTTGAGTTCTTTTGCTTTTTTATTATCAATAAATTTCTTACTGTTTAATTTTGATACTAGACAATTTGCTTTTTGTTGTAAAGTACAAACAGGACTCCTTCTAAGTGTAGTGTAATACTTAGTATCATTTAAGAGTTCTCCAGTTTTTTGTAGGTAATCCTCTTTATACATTACAACAGTTACGTTACCTTTATCGCTTTTGACAATATAAATTTCAGGATGGTTTTTAAGAAAAAGTTTAGTTTGTAAATAGTATTTATTTAAAAAATGATCTTTGACTTCTTTATGTAAAAAGTTTGTAATGACGTTTGTACATTTAGATCTAACAACATCCTTTTGATTGTCATTAAGTGGTCTGATTATTGATTCAATATCAGAAAGTAAATTAGGAACTCTAATATCAGATTTGGAAGGACATAAAGAAAATTTAGGTCCTAATGCTAAAAATTTTTTAATTTCAAAAGGAAACTGAATAGATGTTAGATCCTTAAACCATTTTTCTTGAAATTTTATCTTATCAAAAGCTTCTATTTTTAATTTATTGAACTTATTAATTTGTATTTTTTTGATTTTATGAAATTCTGCGTTATATTTAATTCTTTGTCTACGATTAAATTCATTAAATGTGTGGAAATTTAAAATATTATAAGCCTTTACGTAATTCATGTAATTTTCTTTCAAAAAGGTTAATATCATCAAAAGTAATCTTAATCTCTAAATTAAAATGGTGGCATCTATCAATGGTGAATAAATCTTCTTCTTTTTTGTTACTAAACAAAGAAGAATTTTTTAAACAAAATTTTATTTTTGACAATATGTCAAAAATAAAAATTTTTAAGTTAGTATTTATGACATTTAGGCTGGTTGTAGCTATTCTATTTTTGTTTACAAATTCAATTTTTTTCTTAAGAAACTTCATCAAAATTTTTCAGAGAAACATTTATTAGAATAAGACATTTTTTTATTAATATTTTTTGTATTTAATATGTTAAGCAATAGTTTTATATAAAAAACTAATTTTATTTGGTGAGTTAACAAAAAATTTAAGCGATCATGAGCGCATAAAATCATGATACTATGCTATGCCCATCGAGCAATAAGACAAAAGAGGGAATCTAATCGTTATGAAAAGGAGACCAAAAAAGTGGCCTCTGATGGCGGACATATCCGGAAATGCAAATGCGCCAATTTTAAATTTCATGACACTTGACAATAATCATATAGTGGTGTAGGGGTTCTAATTTATCTATTTATTTATTTTATATTACATAATATTGTATATTATATATTTATCTATTTATTTATTAAAATTATTTATTAAAATACTTTTTTTAACACTAGAACACAATAAAGTTTTAATTAATTAATAACGATAATAGTCTTAATAATATAAATAAGCTTTCGTGTGACAGTTTTGACAAACAATAACATCAACAATAACATAACCCAACTAAATTTGATTTCGTAAACAAGGAAAGAGATTCTCTTTCCTTGTTTAAAGTGGCCTCTCAAAATAGCACTTCCTGTCTATCAATATGTTTACCCCCACTACCTTTACATTCCCTCTTTTATCTTATTGCTCGATGGCTATGCCGATGATGCAGTACTAATTGCTGATAACGAAGATAGCCTACAAAGGCAGCTCCATAACTTCAGTAACGAAATTCAATTACCTAGGTAGATATCACTAATGACAGGGATATAAGAACAGAGACCATAAGCCAAGCATCAAAAGCGGTAAGAGTAAGTGGTTGCCTCCGAGAAACCATATGGAAAAACAAATATCTGACCACGGAAAACAAAATAAAAGTATACTAGATAACAGTAACACCAATCCTAACATATGCAGCGGAGACAAGGACCGATACAAGAAAGATGAAACAACTAATGAACAATATCGAAATGAAAGTATTAGGATCAATAGCGGGCATATCATTAAGAGGCAGACAAATCAACAGAAGTATACGAGAACAATGCAAAATTCAAAATATTACCAAATGGATAAAAACAAGAAAAAAACTGGAACGAACATGTAACTTGAATGGGACCAGAAAGATTAGCGAACATCTGTAAAAACAACAAGCCTTGTAGCAGAAAACCCGTTGGAAGGCAACAACGACTGAAACAGAATAGGAGGCAGACAAACAGGAGTAATCCTAGTTGCACGAAGAAGAAGAAAAAGAAGACTGTTTATGGTGGAGTAATAATTAATATGTAACGTTTCTCTAAAAACCAAGTGTAGAACTATTTCCTTTTAAATAATTTTCACCTGTTTAATATTTTTTTAGGAAAGAAAAGCTTTTCTTTCCATCTAGCAGGAGGATTCTATTAAATGGCGTCTTTTTCAAATAGTCTACGAACCTTCTTATGCGTGTTGTCCAGGAAATCTATGTAAGTCTTTTTTTATTAATTTTTTTGTAGTTACCCCTCCTAGTCCCTCTTTTATTCACCTACTTACGATCCAGCCCTCCAACCAAACCAAGAGTAGCCGTTCGCAAATATTCTGGTTTGTTTCCTTACCCTATCTCCAGCCCAGTAACCCATTTCAACCCCTTATAAGTGATACCCAATGTGGTAGGCAAATTATAACCACTATAAGATAGATAACTGGTCATTTAAAGATTTTATGGTGGCTCAACTAACTAAAACAACAATAGATTGATATGCCCCTTATACGTAGTCCATAGTTTCTTTTTGAAATTTACAATGCCAAGTAGAAGATGGCCTGCCTTAGGTCGTAGAAGCTAATCAAATGTGCGACAAGCTACGTCACGTGCAATCCGCACTAATGACAAAGAGATAATAAATCCGTAAACTATTGTCGAAACCAATTTATTTTCAGATATCACTGTTTGCGTCCATACGAAGCCATGTTAGTGTTGCTTCTTAAAAGACAGTAAAGATTTATTTTCACGTTGAGAACGCCTATGAATAGCTGTTCTGATGAGCTCTATTAGGGCGAAATACGTATAAGCAGATACATAGACGCTTTGTACGTGCAATCAAATCTTGACTGTCTTTTTCATTTTAGATTGATAATAGTTGTATTGGTATATTAGAACTGGGTTTTATGGTGATAAAACATGAAGTGAATACTTTACAAATTTTCCATGCGTTTGGCATTTGCAATAATAATAAGCAAATCGGAAAGCCATTCATTGACAGTTTACGGACTCAACTTAAAGTTTCAGAACCTTTCGCAAAAAACGTCATCTTTCTATATTTACTCACATCAAGAGAATACCAAAAATGCTGTCTCTGAGGAAGCATTAATTTGATTAAATTTGAAGTAGTGAAACAGAGTATGCGCAAAAAAATTTTTTGCATTCAACTCCTTTTATACATATATAAAAATAAAAATATATATTTTCATTAAAATGTTGAGTAAATCCTTCATTTACTATACTCCTATTACAGGTCAAATGTTTATACAACTAACTATGCACCATATACCTATATACCTAAATCTTTTTCTCTTACATACTGGATTACGCCAGAGAGACAGTCTATAGTGTCTATTGTTTAACATCGCGCTAGAAAGAGCCATAGAGAAATCGGGCATAACAACTAGAGGTACGATCATCAATAGAAGTGTACAGATATTGGCCTACGCAGATGACATTGACATAGTAATGCGGACAAAACGAGACCTGATACAGGCTTTTGAAACATTAGAAAAGGCCGCGAAGACAATGGAACTGCAGATTAACGTATCCAAAACAAAATACATGAAAGTCACGAACAGCACACAAATAGCTGCACCACAAGATCTGGTGACAGAAGGACACACATTCGAAGGGGTCTCAGAGTTTATATATCTTGGAACACAACTAAATTAACAGCAACCTAGTAAGCGTAGAAATTAAGAGAAGAATATACCTGGCGAACAGAGCTTACTTTGGACTATAGCAGTTCTTAACATAACACATAATTAGCAGAAAAACCAAGATACTAATATATGAAACTCTTATTAAACCTGTCCTGACATACGCGTCAGAGACATGGACTATGGTAAAAAGCGACGAAGAACTGTTAGGCCGCTTTGAAAGACGAATACTTAGACACATATACGGTGGAGTACAAGAAAGCGGGATATGGCGCAGGTGCTACAATTTTGAGTTGTATCAATGCTATAAAAAATGCAATATCATCCGGTCTATTAAAATTAATAGACTAAGGTGGCTAGGGCCTAGGACACCTTAAAGAATGACACTGGACCCCCAAAGACAGATATTCTATCAAGAGCCAGTAGGAACCAGGAAGAGAGGCAGGCCAAGATCTAGATTCAAAATTAAGTCGAAGATGACTTGAGGAATCTACGTGTCAGAAATTGGAAAGCCAGGGCGAAAGATAGGGGGGAATGGAGACTAATTATTGAACGGGCCAAGACGTACCCAGGGTTGTAGGGCCAAAGATGATGATACTTGTATTAATTTGTTAAATTATTAATTATTGTATGCCCACGCCCTGAGGTAAACTTATTTATAACTCTAACATCTATTAGTTTGTGAGAAGAAGAAGCATTTGGGCGCAGTTATATTATATTTAAAAATAAATAAATGATATTTACTTTGTTGATATTTTCAATATCCTCGGCTGGCCCATAGATTAGAGAAGTACCAGTATCTATAATTGCTTCACATCCATCTTGACACAGTTCATGATCGCCTACAGAAATGCCGTCTGTAGTTACTTGCCAATCGCGCTTACTTGATACTGGTACATAGGCGAACTTGCCTTTGTAATATTTTGGATCTGATCCACCAAGCAGCAGTTCTCCTTTATCGCCATTGGCAGCTCTGAAAAATAGAAAAATAATGACAAACCTCTGCTTAACTGTATTTAATTGGTAATTGGGGCTAATTACCAACTATACAATAAACTTTAACTTTTATACAAAAACTTTTGTATGATGGTAACTACTTGACCATAAGAGAAACATTGGCAGATAAAGGTTTGAGGTTATAGTCTAGTACGGATTTCCTCCAGATTGAGGAAAACATATTTAAACTACTCCTATTAAAGCTTTGTTTTGTGTTTTTTTTTGTGCTTCTTTGTAATATAAGTTGTTATATACTTACTGACTCAGATAAAACGAAAACACTGGTTTGTCCAGTAAACCTTGTTTAATCATATTTTCAAAAACTGTAGGAATATTTTGAGATGACAATGCTGGAAAAGATAATCCTAAAATACCATCGGATAAACCATAAAATTCGAATTCTTTAGTTGCTTCAGCGAAAATTTGATTTCTTACGACTACTCCACCAACCTGAAATATCAATATTTTAGATAAGTTAACCACGTTTATTCGTTTCCAACTAATGTTTCTGTGTGTCTCAGTGCATCAAATGGTAAAACAATGATGAAAAGGTTGCTGCTTTGAGCACATATTCATGAATGTTAAGGACTACTCACAGTACGTGTTAAGTTGTAGATTTATATTAAGATTTTTTATTAAATAGGTGATCTTTACCCTGAATTCAATAGGATTGTCAGGGCAGACATTTTGTAGTTCGTTAACACTCGGTGGTAAGCGGCTATATACTTATTTCTTTATTAGCACACAAATCCACTTCTCAATTATCATGTTTTCCGGTTACATCTGTTGGATGTCCGAACTAGAGAAGGTAGACTCGCCTTGTTGCGAAATTTATTATTTAGTACCCCTTGCAGCTTATCCGTGCCATTGAGGTATACCCTGAGTGCCAATAAAGAGACAGGTAGACACCGTTATTTGTGGTTGAATGAGGGTCATACGAAATCCAAAGTATGGCAAGACTTAAGTATTAAAAGTGGGCAACAAACTTTCATCGAGGGCTTTCAGCCGGCTTAAAAGCACCTTCGAGCAAAGGAAGACGTCTCATTATAACGCACATTGGAAGTGATTCAGGTTTTTTACAAGGTGGTTTAAATGTGTTTACTTCAATCAAAACTGGCAATTATCGTAAGAATGTGAATTCGGAAGTGTTTGAAAAGTGGTTTTCGTCTATACTGAATCTTGTAGATCCTGGTTCGGTAATTATAATGGACAATGCACCTTATCACAGCCGTCGTATGAAAAAAATACCGATCTCTACATCTCGAAAGGCAGATATAATAGATTGGTTAAGAAGTAAAAATATAGATTTTGATAAATCCGTGATAAAGGTTCAATTACTTGATATAGTGCGAGAAGATAAGAGTTTATACATCAGATTTGCAGTAGACGAAATGGCACATGAGCAATTGAGCATGGCATCACCGTATTAAGAACTCCACCGTATCATTGTGAATTGAATTCCATCGAGCTGATATGGGCACAAATAAAAAATGAGGTAGCGCAAAAGAATACCACTTTTAAATTAAAAGATGTCAAATTATTATTAGACGAAGCTATACAAAATATAACCGCTTCCAACTGGCAGTTATGCATTAAACATACACAGAAAGAAGAAGATAAAATGTGGGACGTAGATACGCGTGTTGATGTTCTTATCGAGCCCATTATCATTTCTCCAGGAGAAGACAGTAGTGATAGTGAATTACACCAGCAAGTGATTCAGAATAAAAGTATTTCTTTATAATAATAACTAATAGGTACAGTTCTAGTGATTTTTTGTTGCTGCATTCGGAGATACCTGTGAGATCCTTCGTCCTACCTGGTTATCATTATTTTCTAAGTAGTTATGTAGAGGTAATGGATTTTGAGAACAGCTATGACCTTGAACATTTCACATAAACTTGTGTACTAAATAGGCATAATGCATAGCTCTTGTCAAAATCCAATACATTAATAATATAATTACATATCTTCGATTCTAAATTATTGTAAAAGACTTTAAAGAGTCTGAGTAAGAAAAGAGATATTTAGTTATATTCTTTGTGGCATTTTCAAGGTCATAGCTGTTCTCAAAATCCATTACCTATACCTAATATTTTTATTATTATTATTATTATGACAAGTTTGTTGTTCACAATTGTAGTTTACATTAGGTTGCTGGGTCTAGAATTATTATTTTCTGTAAAGCAGTTGGTTTTCATATTTAATTTGAACTACCTACCTGCTATAGTTTATTTTTATGAACGAGAGAGTAATTAGCATAATTTTAACTGGTACCTTCGACCACTCCATGGGCGTGCTCAAGATTAATTGAAAAATTACTTTGAATAATTGTAAAAAATAAATGAATTATTTCAGTGTTATAAAGTGTTATGTGTATGTAAACAAAAGTGACCTCTTTTATCACACACTATATTAGAATTGACTGGCCTACATTAAAAAGGGTTTTAAAAAATTCACAATTTTTTTTAATTTTTAAAAATTACAAAAGAGAAAAGGATTTTTAAAACCGTCTAAGGTATGTTAAATAGATGAATAAAAATATTAATATAAAACTTACAGCTACTTGTTACAAATCCAAATCAGATTCAGAAGATGAACTTTCAGAATCAAGATTTATAATAACTGGCTCGATCATTTTATCAGTAATATTGTCCAGCTTCCACATTTTTTCCTCTTCTTTAATAGTGTGATTTACTGCCTTTTCCCAGTTTTCAGGTTTTACATTATTTACGGCCTCCAAAAACAACTGTTTAACATCATGAATTTTAAAAGTGGCATTTTTTCTTGAAACTTTACTCTTTATCTGTGCCCATACCAGTTCAATCGGGTTGAATTCACAATGATATGGTGGGGATCTAAGTACTGTCATTCCACGATTTTTGGCAATTTGATCAATTTCGTATTTTTTAAATTTTTCTTTATGAAGGGCACACAACGAATAAAGTTCCTTTCGTATGAATCCGGGATGGTACGTAATATTTTTTGAACTCAGCCAATTCTGCAAGTCTTTTTTTAACCACTTGGTTGTGGGCAGTCCTTCTATAAGTCTGGAGTGATAACTTGCATTATCCATTACTATTACACAGTTCTTAGGAAGAAGATCTATCATTTGTTCGAACCATTCTTGAAAGACATCAGCGTTCATGTCTTCATGGTAGTCACCGGTACGAGTTGATTCAAAAGTTAATAAACCACCTTCAACAAAACCGTCTGAACTGCCAATGTGTACTATTATCAGCCTGCGTCCCTTTCTGATGGTGGGTTTAAACCAGTAGATAAGTTATTTACAAAAGCGTGCCTTTGACTTGTAACAGTTTCATCCTGCCAAAATTTATTTGGTGTATGACCCTCGTTGATCCATGTTTCATCAAGATAAAATATTTTTCTTTTTTGGTTTCTCATTTCCTTTATGGTTCTTAGAAAATGTCTTCTCCATATGACAATATCGCTTCTTTCTAATAAAATAGACTTTCTGGGATTCTTTTTCCAGCGGAAGCCTATTTCTTTTAAAAGTTTCCATAACGTACTTCGACTCATTTCTGGGTAATCCTTATCATCTCGAACTGAGACAAGAACTTTATCCAATGTTGGAAATTCTTGTCTAAAGAAGAATTCATGCACTTTCCGTCGAAGTCCTTCTTTAAAATGATATTTCTATTTGAAATTTTGGTTTCCCTGGAGCATTACGTGGCATTTGAAAACTACCACATTTCTCTTCTTTAATAACTCTGTAAATCGTAGATTTCTCAACACCAAGTGTACTGCTAACTAACTCAACGGTCTCATCAACACTTTCACATAAACGTTTGTCTGTAAATTATTTAAAACAATTAAATATTAATGTTTTTCATTAACTGTTAAAGGATCAATTTTTCGGCGTTTACACGGCACTTCCAAATTTTCCATAACACTAGTATACACAATAAACTGCACCTTGCAACTGAAGTACCTACTTTTAGTAAACTGTTATGAATTTTGAATACGCCACTTGAACCTTCCTACAAAATGGAAAAACCCACTATCACATTTTCTGTGGAATAAGTTTAGAAGGTAATTATCTAGTCAATTACTGTCGTAGATTCCTGGAATTAAAGAATTAAATGTTTGATTGTTGAAACCCTTACTTCGTGGAATGCACTCATTTCAGATAAAATAAAACGTTTTATTTTATCTAAAGAATTAAACTTTATTTTGCAAATAGGTAGGTACTTATTACTTGTATTGGTTATAAATAACCAATAAAATAAACATCTTACATTTCTTGCAAATTTATTAGTACCTGTTAACCTCCATCACTCCGACACTGGCAACCTTATTTAGGGATTAGTAACCCTTACAACTATTGTATTCTATTCTGCTCCAACCTTTATACCTGGTGGTCATACTCAATTTAAAATTGTTTTCCTATATACTTCTGTAAACTTGTTGACAAATATCTGTTTTTCATTGAGTCACCCGTATCAACAGTTTAGAGATTTGCATACATAATTTATTGTTTTATTACTCTCTCATACATAAAAATACACTATAGAAAGTTATTTCGAAACTATTACCTATTTACAAATTCATTCACATTTACTTAAAACTCTCATGTAGAAATTGATTGTATAATTGATATTTTAAATAAAAGTTCAAAAGCAAAAACAAGGTTGTTTCGGGAATTCTATTATGTATTTCCATTTTAATCGTATTTAATTGGAATTTCCCAGGTATTATATTTGTGTTGGAAATTGCGCAATTTGAATAATATGTTGTGTTTAGTTTAAAACGCATATTATGACTAACGAGGGTTTTTCAAAAGGTTAATCTGACATTTCATCTACAGTTTGATGTCTTAATGGTGGACAATTTTATAAAAAGCAGTGGAAGATATTCTCTATTGGGGAAATGCAAGGCGATACAATAGTTATTAGTTATTCTTACGTTTAGTGCTAAAAGTTTCATTTATGTGTTTAAGTTATTTTCTTTCTTGTTTGTCATGGATAAAGATATTTATAAATGATAGGTTTTGTTTATTACAAATTATTACGAACCAGAAGTATATTAGTAACATTTCATTATTATAAGGGAAGAAAGATTTGAATTTAAAATATAATATAATTTAGCACCTCAACACCGTAAGGTACAATAGGACGGCTTGTCCTCTTTTTAGAACATTTTAACAAAATATATTTAACATAAATTAACAATTTGACCGTTGACGCAAAAATATTTTTATGTGCAAGTTCCATATTATTTCGCTGATTTTAAAAATATACACGCCGCCATCGAGTTACCTGCGTCTCTCATCTCGGACCCCTCGAGTATGAGTAAAATGATGTGGGCATATTACAGTCGTAAGAAGAAAAGGAGTCAGTAAAAAATCCTTGGAAATAAAGAGTTAGTTTGCCATTTTTTAGCCAAGATTTTTTACTTACCTCTACATTATCTTCGGATAAAAAACCATCTAAATTTCCTGTTCCGTATCCTATGTGGTAAGGTGTACCGATCTCTTGATATGTTGAAGATTTGCTAGCATTGTATTGTTTATGGTTTACTGAAAATTATTAGCTTATTAAATTTATATTATAAATTAAAATAAAGAACGGTATCCACTTATTTTAAGTAAGAGAGAATCCTCTAGGAATACTCAAAACGATCGAAAATATCTACCAAAACAACACAATAAAAATTAAAGAAGAAGACGAACTAACCGACCCCATTGAAGCTGTGAGATAAGATAGGGAGATTTCCTGAGTCCTCTATTGCTCAACCTAATTATGTATATATTGTTTTTTTTTATTTACTAATAATAGTCGCTTCAACCACCTGGGTCATTAGCGACATTGGTTTACATTAGTTACTACATTATATTAAATTATGTAAAGATGTTTCTTTTAGAAATCTAATTAAGTTTTTAGTATTTAAATGTTCACCTAATACTGTTTTTAAGTCACTGGAAATATTGTTATTATATTTTCCACATTCTGTTAGGAGATGTTTAACAGTAATATTGACATAACAGTAATCACACACTGGAATGTCTTCTTTACTTATTAGGTGCTTATGAGTAATATTGGTATGACCTAATCGAAGTCGAGAAATTTTGACTTGGTCAGCTCTTTTTAAGTTTACTAGGAGCCACGGTTTCACTGTCGATTTAATTTCTTTTAATTTAGATTCCGATAAGTTCCACTTATTTTGCCACGCACTAATCACTTTTTCGTTAACGAACTGTTTTATATCACTGCAGATAGTCTTTGACACTATTATGGCTTGATAATTTTTGGTAGCTTCTCTTGCTTGGAGGTCTGCGTTTTCATTACCTTGTATTCCCGTGTGAGATGGAACCCACATAAATTTGACTTCTGAACCAGATTCTTGTAAGGCAGCAAGTTCTTTCTTGACAAGTAAGGCTATAGGGTTCTTAGTATATAGTTGACCGATTGTTGTTAAGGAGTTTAGAGAATCTGTGATAATGAGGGAAGAAAAGTGGTTTGTACTTCTGATATGAATGAGGGCTTGTAATATTGCATATAATCCTGCTGTGTATATAGAAGTGGCTGGCATTAATATAAATTGGAAGAGGAATATGGAGTGACAAATGCTGCTCCTACGTCATTTGCAGATTTGGAGGCATCTGTATAAATGCAAAAGCTTTTCCCGTAAGTCTCGAGTTCCTTTAAACATGACTGTCTGATTACAGTGGGTGAGGTATCTGATTTGTTATATTGGAGTAGCGTCATATTGATTTCGGGAATCATGATTAACCAGGGAGGTGGAGTTTTTACATTTGAAGGAAAGAGGTTAGAAATTTGGAGTTGTAGATCTTTTAAATTTCTTCGAACTCGTTCGTAGAATGGTGGATCGAACCTACTTTTGTTATAAGCTTCTAGGTAACGGTCCGTAAATGCATTTTGAAATACTGGGTGAAATTTGTTGCTGGCGACTGATGCTGCATACGAAAGGCATAAATAATTTCTTCGTAGATTAAGAGGTGGCTCTCCTGTGAGGCATTGGAGATTCTTAACTGGTGTGGGTCTAAATGCACCTATGGCAATGCGAAGTGCTGTGTTCTGACTGACTTCAAGTTTATATTTGTGTGACTTTGAGTGACTTATAAATATTTCGTCGGATCCCCATTTTTTATTTGATAATGTTTTTGTTAATGTTGTTTCCATGTTAGTTTTTGGTCAAATACCATTCGAGAAAATTAATTTTTTCTGAGAATTTGAGCGGCTCGCCATACAGTTTTAAAGATGTTCTCTGTGGCCGGTGCCTTCTTGTGAAAAGCATGCATTTTGTTTTTAATGGGGAGAATTGCACGCCTACTGACATTGACCATATCTCTAATTTATAAATAGATTCTTGTAAGTGTTTTTGAATCATTGTCATATTCTTGCCCTTTGCAAATAGAACCAGATCGGCGGCATATAGTCTTCCCTTAACTAGCGGGGAGCAGTGATCCAGTATATCGTTGATAGCCACGAGAAAAAGAGTTGGGCTCATAACTGACCCCTGAGGTGTTCCGTTTTTCTGATTTTTTTTTTTTTTTTTTGATGAAGTGGAATTATCGGCGCGAACAGAGAAAGCTCTTGACTGAAGAAAGTTTTCTATGAATCTTAGCATATTACCCGTGATTCCCCATTTGTGTAATTTTGATATAATATTAAATCTCCAAACCGTGTCGTATGCCTTGGTGATATCGAAGAATACTGCGATGGTCTCTTGATTATTTGCAAAACCTTCGTGTATCTCTGACTCTAAATCTACTAAGTTGTCTACGCATGATCTATTTTGACGGAAGCCACTTTGCTGAGGAATTAAAAGTTTTTCTTGTTCTAAGTACCACAAAAGGTCTTTTGGTTATAATTTTTTCTAGAACTTTGCATGCTACATTAGTGAGTGATATAGGAAGGTACGAGTCTATATTTGTTCTGTCTTTGTTGGGTTTGATCAGAGGAATTAGAATGCTGTCTGGCCATACAGATGGAAAAACCTGATTTGTCCAAATAAAATTGTACAATTTTTATAGCTAAGACCTTCCATTTTCTGGTAGGTTTAACAAAAAAAATAATGGTATAACCGTCTGGACCTGGAGCGGAATTTTTACTTGACATTAGGGCATCCTTGAGTTCTTGCATTGTAATCGGTACATTAAGTATATTATACTCGTGAGAGTGGTACTCCAACTTTGTTTTCTCTGCGCTTTCTTTCTTAAGCTTAAAGTCCGGTGGATAGTTATCGTTACTTGAATTGGTCTCAAATTCACTGGCGAATAGTTCAGCAATTTCATTTCGGTCGGTTATAATTTTGTTATCTTTTGCTAGGAAAGGTATTTTGTTTGAACATTTTTTTCCAGATATTTTTCTCATATTTTTGCTACACTTTACTTGCTGGGGTAGAACTATTTATACTTGAAATAAATTTTTTGCCATGACGTTTTCCTGCATTTTTTAAGAATATATCTAGCTTCCGCTCGACGTCTTTTGTATTCTGCCATAGTTTCATTGGTTTTATGATGCTTAAACCTATTGAAAGCTTTTTTATATGTTTTTACAGCTTCTTTGCATTCTGAGTACCACCATGGTAAAGGTTTATGATATTTTAGTGGTTTTGTTTTTCCAATATGATTTTCTGCTGCTTTGTTGATTATTGATATGAACGTATCTAGGTCTTTATCTATGTCATTAAGAGTAATATCTTTTATGTTATTTATTTCATTTTGTATATATTTTGTAAAATTTTCCCAGTTTGCATTTTTATTATTCCATTTTGATGCAGTAGTAGCAGTACTGAAGTCTTTTTGTTGTGGAAACGCAATTTTAATGGGGTAGTGATTACTTCCGTATAGGTACGGAATAACGTCCCATTCTAGAGTTGGGGATAATGTTGGATCACATAACGATACATCAATGGCTGACTGACTACCCGTTTGAATATTAAACCTCGTGGGCCTACCATCGTTTAACAGATTAAGATTTTGTGAGGTCATAATAACTTCCACTATCTTGACTCTAGCGTTAGTTTTTGTTGAACCCCATATAGGGTTGTGTGAATTGAAATCGCCTAAAATAATACGAGGGCTGGGAATTTGTTGCAATAGGTTATCAAAATCTTCTTGGTCTATAGTTTGATCTGGAGGTAAATATATGTTGCAAATATTGATTTTTTGTTCCATGTTTACTGAAATAGCTACTGCTTCAAAGTTCTGTGTGTTGATATGTAATTGATGGGCTTCATATTTTTTATCGACGTTAATAGCAACCCCGCCACTAGCTATCTCAGCGTTTTGTCTGTGTTTGAAAAAATTTGTGTATTCTTGAAACTTGATTACGTGGTTGGAATCTTTAAAGTTGGTTTCTTGTAAACAAAGTATCAATGGGTTGATTTCAGAGATAATATGCTTTAACATTTCGAAGCGACTGTAGAAACTATTTACGTTCCATTGTATTATGAACGCCATTGTTTCTATTTATTATATGTTTTACGATGAATCGAAAGAGGTGACGGATTCTTCTTCCAGAAGTATCTTCTTCGCTACCGGGTCCATTTTTAGTTGCTTCATAATCTTACGTCTTATTCTCGTGCTTCTGTTTTTCATACTTCGATCAGTGTAATAAGGATGCATTTTAGATAATAGTTTCAAAAAATCATCAACGTTCTCCGTATATGTTTTAACTAAGCTTATCGGATCTTTGTTTCCTTTAACATTTTCAAAGAAATCGACCATTTGGTCAAAACTGAGTTTTAACGATTCTTCTTCGAATATTCTCCTAGTTGGTTGCAGTAACGGCAATATTTCATTAGATTTTGGTTGGTGTGTTTTGGCCAAGGATGATTCTTCTTCAGTAATAGTTTTAGTTTTCTTCTTTCTCTGGGTTGTTGGTACTGCAAATGTAACTTCAGTTTGTGAGGACGGAGGAGGTGTTATTACTTCTGTAATACTACGTTTTGAACTTGTTTTATGTAAATATTCTGATTCCATTTGTTCTGAGGTGGGCAAGGAAATTTCTGTGGTTGGTTGTTTTTCTATTTCGTTATTATTATATTGTGTATTTGGTGCTCTGTTATGGGTTAAAGGTTGGGAAGGTGAAGATTTATCATTTATTTGTAGGTCTGTCGTAATAGAGATTTTCATTGATAGGATTGCATTTCGAGTGGTAGGGATATTGGTATTGTTTGCAGGCTCTGGACTTGCTGTAATTAAGCAATTATTTGAGAAATGGCCTGTTTGGTTACGCTTTGAACACAGCTGACTTTCATGAGACAAGAAAATGCGATATGATATGTTATCGTGAGATAGTACTATTGAGTCTGGAACTGTATTGTTGGGAGGTGAGATATAGATGTAGCGTCGAAAACTAAGAATGTGTTTGTATTCAGGGTTGGTTGCGGCAATTCTAAGAAAATTTAAAGGAGATACTAAGTTATAGCCCTGTTCTCTGAGTTCTTGTTCTATACAATCATGTGTGATAGATGGGCACACATTAGATAACAATAAACCTTGGCTTGGACTAATAAATCTGCGAGTTTGAATTTGTTCTGAGTTTACTGTAATTATTCCATTATCAGTGTTCATGAATTCGTCGACCTTTGTCACACTGGATAGATAAACACATATTCTATTGTTAGATATCCTAGACGAGAAAAGTATATTTTTTGGATTAATTTTTCTTCCGATGGCTATAAGATAAGATACTCCTCTAGTTTTATTTCATTAAGGGAGTTGAAAACTATAGCTTGATTTTTGGATGGGAATTTTGGTTTTCTAAATACTCTCGAATAACTATGTTGTTGATTGTTAGAGTTGGTGTTAGTAATAATAGGAGAAATATTTTGTAGTTCCATTATTTTCCAATAACTATATGTGCCCCTCATGCCGGACCTGCCTTGTAGCAGGTCCAACTGATAAGAGGCACGAAATATTACAATAATGTGAAAAACCTGTCTTTTGTTTTTATTTCTCACTTTTTAATAAACCGTTTACTTTTAGAATAAAATATTATATACCTTACTTTAGTTATAATGTTGCATAGAAATTGCACACACTTTATCACTACATAATTTTTGCTTAGAAAACTATTGATACCTATTGATAAATTTTGATTATAACTTATGTACATATTGTTATGATATGTAAAATTGAAAATAATATTGGTTTTTTTTTTATTGAGTTAATGCCTCGACAACTATAATCATTGGCATGGTACAGTCAGGTACCTAGTGTAGTGTGTGTGTGTGTGTGTGTGTGTGTGTGTGTGTGTGTGTGTGTGTGTGTGTGTGTGTGTGTGTGTGTGTGTGTGTGTAGAGTAATTGTCTTGATACTTAGCAAAGTCGACGTCATTGTCTTTGCTAAGAGACGCTAATTGTATCCGAACGTCTGCGGTCCCTCTGGTGAGTACCGATCGCACAAGGATAAAAATTATTCTCATTCATTAATTTCTAATAAACGAAAATTTCCACCCAGGTGAGATTCGAACTCACGACCTTTAGGTTTAAAGGTAGGCGCTCTTACCACTGAGCCACAGAGGGGGTATAATATCGGTTTGCTCTTAATATATTTCAAAGTACAAAATATAATAATTCAAATAATTTCGACTAAAGAACTATAAAAGATATTTCAAAGAAGTAAAAGTCGATTATTCTGGATTACCTGTAGTAAACAAAATTGTAAAGATATGAATAAATTATTTTCTTTGTAAAATATATTCGAGTGACGTTAGGGTAATTAGTGAAACCATGAACACTGGAGCGGGTTTTCCAAATGGATTTGTGCAGTGCATAAGACAATATAATATTTAGAAAATATATTTCTCCGTTAGTTCTTAAGAAGTTGTAAAAACCGATTAGCATGTTAATAGTTTTTAAGAAATTTATAATTGTAGGTAAAATTGTTGTCTATTATTTAGATGAAGAGATGGGGATAATTGTGACGAGCTTTGATTGGAGGAGATTGAAAAAAGTGGGACGGTTTGTAAGAATGAGAATTTAGCTAGTTTTTTTTAGGGAGAAAAGATAATCAGTTGTTTTCCAAGGGTGCCAGTTCCATCAGGTGATCCAGAAATAAAAAATAACATTGAGGGAATTTGAATTTGAAAGTATTTTGACAATTTTTCCAGTGGATAAAAATTTGACTCATTGATTGATCGTTGTTAGTTGATATTTACTGCCATTGAATTATTTGATTTTTATTTTCTTTACCAATCGTGCATTTGATATTTATTTTGAATTATTTGAATTTTACTGATTGCATATTTGATATTTGTTGTATAAATTTATTACAATTGGGAAAAAATATTAATATTAAAATATCGTGTTCTGCAACATATAGAGGGTTGTAAAATTTCACATTTGGCGGGGACAAAAAGAGTAACGAAAAGAAACAACGTGTCAATCACAAGGAGACAAAGCAAAATACAGAAAAGGAATGAGGATAAGAGGGAAAAGAAAACAATTGTTGAAAAAGGATCGGATAATGAAGAAAATGCTACAATAATGGAGGAAATAAAAGAAACAGGGATGTTAGAAAAATTATTAGCAATGATGCAAATACAGACACAAACAATAGAGAAAAACCAAAATGAAACATCAAAGAAAATGGATAGAAATCAACAAGAAACAAAACAAACAATGGAAGAAAACCAACGGGAAACAAGACAAGCAATAGAACTAAATAACAGGAATAATATAGAGCAGCGTTTGGAAAACTATGTGCTTTTCAGATAGAACTATCTACCTTAAATAACTTATGAACCTCTAATTTTATGGAAAAACGCAAAAACATGTCAATTAATATTTGAAGGGGGAGACGTTATATCATATTTAAGGCTGTTGGGAAATGCACCCTTTCACCCCCTTATCAACCTTTTATTTTTTTTACTTCTCCCTTTTTTTATTTTATATTTGGATTCTCCTTTTTGTGCTGATTTCAAAACTGTATAGTACCTTTGGCTTGAAGTGATTAGTTTATGAGATAGACAATTTTCCTGTTAACAAGGATAGTATCCCTCTCACCTTAAATGACTGTAACAAAATAGGTTGTAGCATAATTTAAACTTTTTAAATATTTAACCTTACTATTTGTAGTACCTTCAAAAATCAAGAAATAAAAAAATTCACTTTTTATTAAAGTTTTATCAAAGGTTAAGGATAACCTTTCCGAAGATTTGGTTGTATTTCAACATGATGGAGCTTCTCCACACTTTGCTTTACCTGCGCGATAATTTTTAAATGAAACGTTTCTTGGTCCTTGGATAGGGTAAAGACGATAGATGATCGATTAACGACCTAGGTCACCGGATTGAACACTCCTAGTCTTCTTCTTTAAACGGTATTTAAAAACAAAAATTTATGCTACTCAACCAGAATCTCTAGATGATATAAGAATAGAGGATGAATGTCGACAATTAAATGCAAACGTGTTAAGCAATCTCAGAGAAGAATTTCAAAATAGATTTATACTATTGTATGGAAGTGAAGGGCAGTCATTTTGAACAATTATTGTAAAAATTTTTAGTAGTGTAATGTTCATTCTAAATATGTGTAATAAAATTGTTAAAAAATAATTATTCAATTTTCTTGTATTTTTTTTATTTGTATTTATTTTTCTCATAAACTAATCACTTCAAGCATAATGTATTATACATTTCTGATCAGTACAAAAAGGAGAATCCAAATATCGAATAAAAAAGGGGGAAGTAATTAAAAAAAAGTAAAGGGATGATACAAGGGGTGAAAGGGTGCATTTCCCAGCAACCTTAAATATGATATAATATCTCCCCATTCAAATATTAATTAAAGTGTTTTTGCGTTTTCGCGAAATGTACTGTATATTATAATAGTGTAATCATATAGCAAAACCTGAAGCCTTCGAGATGTGGCTATACAGAAGAGTCGAGACTGTATTACGAAAAATGGGGAAAGAAAGAGAAGTGATGTATAAAAATAAAAGGAGAAAGTTAGAATATCTCGGACACATAATGAGAAACGACACTAAATACGAATAACTAAAAATAATCCGTCAAGGCAAAGTATTTGGAAAGCGATGAATTAGGAGAAGAAAAATATCATGGTTAAAAAAACCTGAGTAAATGGTTCTCCACAACAACAACTAATCTATTTAAAGCATCAGTTAATAAAACAATTGTAGCCAGGATGATCGCAAGTATTCGAAACGAATCAGCACCAAAAGAAGAGGATAGCATAATGATCAACTGTTGTGTTTACCTAACTTGTTGCAAAAATATGTACTTACGGCAATCGTTTTTATCAACATTTTCGCACTTGGACGAAGGAACCCAAAGGTCAGGAGATCCGGTGTCAAAAACTACGTTGAACTTTTGTGGAGGAGTTCCAATACCGATTTCTCCATAATAGGACATCTAGAAAATAAAAAGTAAAAAATATTTAACTATATTAAAAACAAACCAGTAACTCTACTATGAGTTATGAAAACTCTTTAAGAAAGGATAATAAAGTAAAACAAATGTCAGTTTGGAGTACTTAATTGTAAAAACTCACATCATTCTCATTGGTTAAAGGTACTTCTCCCGTGTTTCTAAATTTACCATGTAGTGCACTTCTTGCCCTATTACGCAATCTTGTTTGTTCATTGTTGACTTGTTTCTTTAGAGGAATTCTACAAAAATTACCTTTATGTTAAAATTATGGGAACAATTTTTTCGAATACAAAATGTGTATAAAAATTTGACAGAGTACCCGCTACATTACCTTCAATTATCATTCGTTCCATGCCTTTTTTCTGCTAGATATATTATGTCCAAAATATCTCAGTATATTTTGGTTGATAGTTGTGATGAGTCTAGTTTTTATGTTAAGTTCTGCTAGAATTAAGTTATTTGTAAGATAAGCGGTCTATGGTATGCGCAACATTCAACGTAGACTCACTTTTCAGATGCCATTATACACTTTGAATCGGGTTTTTTTATTGTCCAAGTTTCTGTAGCATGCGTGGCGATAGGAAATACCAATGCTCGAACAAGGCGCAATTTTGTTTTTTTTTGTGATGTAAGCGTTCTTCCAAACTTTTGTGAGTTTGGCTGTTGCCAATCTGGCCATTGTGATGCCTAAGTAATTAAATTACCTGACCACTTCGTAACGTGTCACGATTCTTATCTCTGCCTGGTTGTTTTTGATTTTATCGATGATCATCTCTTTGGTTTTCTGCATATTTATTTTCAAACCATATTCCGTACTCACCGTACCTATAGTCAGAATCCAGAAATCTAGGCAGTAAATTCTTGGAAGTAATAGTGACGGTTCATCGATATTGTAATAGGTCTTCCAATGGCGTACGAAAAATGTCACAAGAAGTTACGACAAGGCATTCAAAAGCGTGTCTAGAAAAGCTATACCCAGAGGATGTAGACAACAATATGTTCCCAGGATGTCCAGCGAGTCCAAAGAACTAATGAGAACATACGAAACAGTCTATTTCACTGACCCTTTTAGCAAAGAAACGGTTGCCTGCGGAGCAGATCTTGCATTATGTGCTCAACGAAATAGTTTTCAAGAAGTGGAGAAGAAAATAAAAACTGCCTTAAAAACAATGACAGCATACTATCTGTAGAATTTTCTAAGACCCAATCCCTCTAAAACCCAAGTCTGCGCTTTTCAGCTTCTCACAAAGGAAGCCAAGCAAAAACTCCAAATTGAATGGAATGGTAATACATTAGAACACACAAACCAACCTATATATCTTGGAGTAACTCTGGACCAGTCCCTTACCAACATTGCATAAGAACAAGAGTGAAAGTAACAGCATACTCAGAAAAATAACGGAAAGTAAATGGGGTGCACGTTCTGACGTTTTAAGAACAACGACACAGGCACTGTGTTTCTCAACTGCTGAATATGTGTGCTCCGTTTGGGTCAGATCTGTCCACATCAAACAAGTTGATACTACACTAAATTAGACATGCAGGATAGTAACTAGGTGCATGAAACCAACGCCACTCTCAAATCTATATAAAACGGCGGGTTTTGCAGAACCCTCTACATGCAGAGGCATCGCAGAGCACATAGAGAAAATTAAACAAATCGCGGATGAGCAGCGTACTCTGTACAAGGCTCGAACACCACGAAAGCGACTAAAATCCGGGAAAAGCTTCTTTAGAATAGTGCATCCGCCTGAGTAATTTCCTCTTCCCCAGGTTCAATGGACTGGCCAGTCCCTAGACTTTAAAACGTGTAAAACTATGAATAGGATAAGAACGGAAGTCGCTTCAGTAAAATCAAACATGGCAAAATAGGGAAAAATAGACCAAGATGATGTGAACTGTAACTGTAGAGAAACACAGAATATGGAACATCTTCTTATATGCAGAAACTGTGCTCATCGATGTACTCTCGAAGATTTGTGGCTCGCCAACAAAGATGAAACCGACGTAGCGGGATACTGGGCCGAAATTTAATGAATTACATATTTGGACACGTTAAAGTAAAATAAGTAAGTAGCTTCATTCATGTATACCTAGTAGCAGTACTAATGATGGCATTCTTATTTCGAAAACATTCTGTGATGTAGCCTAAAAGGGTTATTTTTAAATATACAGTTTTATAAAGTTTTTTTTATACTTTCTTGATTTATGATATTGATCTGACTACAGAAAATTAATTTTCCTTTTGAAATAGACTTACCTTATAAGAGATCCATTGCTCATATCCATCCAGTTTGGCGATGCCACAATAAAAAAAGCAACAACAATAAACACTTTCATTGTACTTTTTCTACAAAAAATTAATTAGTTGAAAACTATAACTATAACAAAAAATACAAAAGTTTTAATATGTACAAAAAAGTCAAAGAGGAAGCAAGAATTCGAAAGAAAAGCCACATCTGAGTAGTTACAGTACAGTATCTGAGTAGGATAGAGGATTTAAAAAATAAACTACAAATATGGATTGCATATATAAATAAATTATTATCTAAGAACCCGAAACAATCTTCTACAGATAAAGAGTGACACGGATTATTGTACATTGAAAGAAGAAAAAGAAAACGCAATAAAAATGCTAAAAATAGAAAAGCAGCGGGGTCCGTCGAAATTATATGACACAATAAGGTGTTTTTAAAATTATTATATATAAGTGTGTTTACAAACAGTTAGAACTTAATATTAGCAAAACACAGTTGGCTCCAATCAATCTTTATACCAATCCCAAAAAAGCCAACGCTAATAGTTGCGACCAATTCCGAATGATCAGCTTATTGATCCAGCTCCTAAAACTCTTTTTAAAGTTAATTCACACAAGAATATACAACAGATGTGAAAAAGACATTGGCCCCATACAGTTCGGTTTCAGACAAGGATTTGGCATAAGGGAAGCACTTTATAGCTTAACTGTCCTACTTCAGAAATGCAGAGATCAGCAAAAAGATGTCGTCCTATGCTTTATAGGTTACCACAAAGCGTTCGATTGTGTTATTCATTCAGAATTAGTAAGATTGCTCCAGAAACGTCCGATAGATATGAATGACCTTAAAATCATAAAGAACCTTTATATGAATCAAGTGGCATATGTGAGAGTAGGAGTGGAATCTACATTATATATCTCAATCGAAGAAGGTGTATGACAGGGTTGTGATCTGTCACTTCTCCTTTTTAATCATTACTCTAAAACGATTTTCGATAGAGCCTTAAGTGACACTGAAGATGGAGTCAAAATCAACGGACATACTATTAGTAATCCTCGCTATGCTGATGATACAGTCCTAATAGCTCATAGCGAAAAAGCGCTATAACGACTAATAGATAGAATAAACACTGAAGTAGAACGACTGGGCTTGAAGATTAATATAGATAAGTACAGCAGCCTGAACTTAACGCTTTGATATCGCTTTGTAAATTGTTACATTTACTCCATACTGCTATATAGTGTAGAAACCTGGACCACAAAGGCCAATGTGATGAACCGATTTGAGCCTTTGAAATGTGGGTATTTAGAAGGCTACTTAAAATTCCCTGAATAGATTACACAACAAATGTCGAAGTAATAAATCGAATGGGCAGAGAACGAAAATTGCTGCCAATAATAAAAAGAAGAAAACTGCTTATCTGGGTCATATATTTCGAAATTCTAAGTACCAGTTCTTAAAGCTTATTATGGAAGAGAAGATAGAAGGAAAACGAGGCATCGGAAGATAGAAATACCCATGGCTTAAAAACATAAGGGATTGGATGTTCATGCACTCTTTAGAGCCACACAAGATCGAGATGAGTATGCCAGAATTATCGCCAACATCCACTAATTGCATAAAGCACCATAAGAAGAAAAAATAGAAACGATGCATGTGGCAAAAATAAAAATAAAAAAAAATGAACACTGATTATATATGGAAGTACAGGCACAATTTTTAAACAACGATAATAATTAACAAAATGACGATACTACTTTAAAAAATGTTAAAAAAGTTGCAGTTAACGTATTAAAAACACTTACCTTAATCTTGACAAAGCTCGCAAAAAGTTAAATGCTGTATAAAAATATGTCTGATATTTATACTAAAAAATCATTGTCGTGAATATTGTGTATCATATCCCTTAAAAATCTTTTATTATTTTCCTGAGACACGACAATAGTTTATTATTTTTATGGGGCACGACCATTTTGCCACACGACTCGGAAAAGCACGTTTTTCGAAAATAAAATTTTTACTGGATTTGTTGTGCTGATATTTATTTTTAACACTCATAGTTTTGGTACCACCAATATCTATCATCCTCAAATCTCATATAGTCCTAAAACATTAGTAAATTAATGGTCTAATCTCTTTGTTTTTAGTCCAAACCAAATTTTTGCTTTGGTTTAGAGTTGGTAATGAAATTGTTAAAAAAAAAAATATGGAAAGTTTCTAAACTAAAATTTGAATATAGGTATAAATAATAACACTGGTAAACACACAGTTTGCTGCCGGAAATTCTTTTACTGTTTCTAGGTAATTTGGGTCTGTTGAATGAAAAATGCCACCAGATTTGCTCCATCAGATCGTTTTCAGGAAATACAACAGATCATATTTCTAACATATAAGGTAATTTAACGCAGCACTAACTACATATATGTAGTGCTGCTACCAATTAAATAAACAAAACACTAATAAAAAGTAAGATATTTATTGTACAATAATGCACTTACATTAATAAAGGTGATAGTCGAAAATGGAAAACTACAGACCCATCAGCCTACTGTCATACCTATTTAAAATACTCACCAAAGTCATAACTACTCGACTAACAAGGAAATTAGACGAATACCAATCATATGAACAGGCAGGTTTTAGAAAAGGCTATTCAACTTCCGATCACCTGTTAACCACAAAAATAATAATAGAAAAATGTAAGGAATACAAGTTTCCAGTTTTCCAGTAGCATTTGTAGATTACGAAAAAGCTTTCGATACCATAGAACACACGGCCGTAATAAACGCAATGCAAAATTGTAGAATATATAGCAGATATATTAACTTAATAAAAGAAAATATGAACCAAGCTACAGCTACATACTACCTAAATGAAAATGAACACACGAACCCTGCTTAGTTTTGGAGGACGTTTTTAAAAACCTAAATTGGAAATATAAGGGAATAAACATCAATGGCCGCTACCTCAGTAATCTACGATTTGCAGATGACATAATCCTGATAGCTACTGACCTACAAGCAATGCAAACCATGCTTTTGGAACTACATACCGAATCTTCTAAAATAGGACTGAAAATGAATTTAAACAAAACAAAAGTCATGCACTCCGAAGACACCGTGACAATCATAAACGATAAAGTTATAGAAAAAGTTGAAGAATATATATACTTAGGAAAAAAATAATACTAAATAGGGAAATTCAAACTGAAGAAATAAAAAGAAGAAGAAAGTTAGCTTGGGCAGCATTCGGTAAACTGAACTATATACTCAGAAATCAACAAATTCAATTACATCTTAGATCTAAAGTTTTTGATCCATGCATTATTCCGATATTAACTTATGCGGCACAAACATGGATAATCACAAAAAAGAATATGAATATACTTAGAGTCACTCAACACGCGATGGAAAGAGCAGTGCTAGGTATATCACTTAAGGACAAGAAAACAAACACATTGATAAGACAGAAAACCAAAGTCACCGATGTGGTGCAAAAATCATTAAAGTTGAAATGGGAATACGCTGGACATGTAGCTAGGAGCGATCTAAACAAATGGCACAGATCAATTTTAACCTGGAGACCATACCAACATAAAAGACCCAGGGGCAGACCTTCTATGAGATGGACAGATGATCTGAAAAGTACTGCCGGGAAAATTGGCTACAAGTAGCGTACAATAAAAAACAATGGAAAGGACGACTTGAAGAGGCTTATGTTCAGATGTGGACGTGAATGGCTAGACGAATAAGAAGAAAAAGAAGAATGTACTTACAAAAATCATTCCACATATCTGCCAAAAAACTTAACTTTTCATCTAATCTGACCAGCAACGCAACACAAACCTGCTATTCAGGGTCACCTAAAAACTTCCTTTTATATGATTTCCTTGCAAAGGCTTTAAAATCTTTTCATGAGTTCAGCAGTAATCCGCCATCATGTGAGTGATCATTTCCCCTGATACCTCTCTTCCATCGTTTTGATATCTTGGTGGAAGCGTTCTCCTTGTTCTTTACTAAGGTCACCAAGATTTTCTGCGAAACGGTGTTAGTGGCTGTGGAGGTAATGAATTTTAATACTCATATGACAACCGAGCTTGTTAACATTGTTGAGCATTTCTTCCACTATATCCGGTAATTTTCGGATTTATTGTTTCCAAGAAAATTTTGCACAACTTTCACAAAAGAGCACCATGCATTACATTCAATTTTAGTCATAGATTCTGTAAAATGCGAATCTTTTATAAGTTGTCGTATTTGAGGCTTATCAAATATTCCGGCTTTCACTTTTTCTTTACTAAGTGCAAGGAATTTGCTGGACAAGTATTCAAAACAAGGACGATTCTGGTCTAGGGCCTTTACAAATTGTTTCATCAGCCCTAGTTTAATATGTAACGGAGGTAATATTATTTTCTCTTGGTCGACCAGTGCTTCGTTAACTACATTAGCTTCTTCTTAAACTAAAGCATGTCTGGGATGCCATTTTCTTCTACCGCAGTATTGGTCCTTAGCCCTGCTATCCCAAAGACACAGGAAACAAGGATATTTTGTATAGCTACCTTGTTGTCCCAGGAGAAAGTTCACCATCTTAAAATCAACACAGATCGCCCACTGATGTTGGTCATACTTGATGTTTTTTAGCACCAGCGAAATTGTTTTATATTCTTCTTTCATTTTTGTAGAATGCCCAATTGGTGTACTTCCATATTAGTTCCATTTTGTAAAAGGACACAGTTTAAACTTCGTTTGGAACTGTCGATAAAAAGACGCCAGTGATCTGGTGTATATTCCGATACACCCATTTTGTCTAACAGTCCTTTAATATTATTACAAAAAAACCATATCATTTTGCTGAGAAAAAAAAGGCAAAAGATCTTTTTCTCTATTAGGGTAGTATGTAATTTTGGTGTCTGGGTGAAGAAGATTATTTTGCTTTAGTCTGGAGGCAAGCAACTCGGAAGAATCCTTTGGAAGGTTTAAATCTCTGATAAGATCACTTAGCTCTTCCTGAGTAAAGAGCTCAGGACGTGTTGACTCCTCTTCAAAATCACTGTCGTCTTCCTCAAATCTATTAGTCTATAGT